AGGGAACCCACTCGCAAAATTTTGGCGCCGAAGCTTGCTTGGGTGCCGAGTTGAAATACCCGGACAAACACACACACACACACATACGCACACACGCACATACACACACACGCACATACACACACGCACATACACACACACACACACGCACATACACACACCGGGGTCGTCACAGTATGTGTTTTTGCATATAACCGGAAACGCATAATGAAAGTGATTAACAGCACTTTTTTCTGAAAACGATTTGCACTGAAAGAGGTCTGAGGGCGACGGGAGGTAGTGCTGAGCATTATCGGGGACCCACGCTTCTTCGATTCAAGCTTTATTTGAAAGCCGTTGTAAATGCGATGTGTGAAGGACGCCAGTTTGACATGACTTTTATAACCCTGCTACGTCTCTGGCCCTAGCACTGCGGAATGCTTGACAACAAGCCACCTGTGTAAAGTGCAGCAGGGCACATGCGGAACTAGCAACGCATGAAGGTGATTCGCGGGCCCATGTGTTCGTGGCTTCAGTCCTGTGATGCAGCAAACACGTAAGACTGCAGACTGAATTGGACCAACGTCCTGCTACTACTGTTACGGTCTGTTTTCAGCTGAGTATCTCTCAGCACGAACTCAGGAGGATCGCTGTGCGGCAGGACCAGGAAACGCATTTCTCGGCAGTTGCTGGAACTCGGCTCAGCTCAGCTCTACCGTGCCTGAGAGGCGTTCTTGCTTCTCCGCTAGTACTATTTTGAGTATCGCTTCCGAGCACTGCTTGTCCTGATGCCAGCGAATGATAGTAGTCTTGTCGTAGGCGTTGGTTCCCCAGGCCATGACAGCTTTGCAGATTGCCCACTTCAAAAAATTTATATTAAGATATACAGAGTTCTGGGCCGGCATGGTCACTCGTAGCAGTGGTCCCAATTTCTGAATTGTACGCGGAACGTCGGCCCTTGTTTACTTCGTTTGGGTGAGCGCAGTCCATCGGCTGTTTCTTTGGTTCCTCGAGCCCAGTCTGTTGGCTCCTTCTTCGATACCTTAAGCTTGGTTCGTCGGCTCGAATCGTTCGAACTCCCCCAAACTTGGGTAATACAAACTTTATCAATAAGTGACAAAAATAACGAATATCGACGCGAGACGTTAAGCGCAAACAGATAACAAGTCACGTAATACACACTACTAACATGTGGAAAGTTGGGGTGGAAGTGAATTCTTTGCGTCGCGGTCCTGCTTGTCGCCGTAGGTGCAGCCACCGTCGCTGCCGTTCCTGCCGCCGTTTATCATAGTTCCTTGAAAAATAAAGAAATCGGCCGAACGGCTTCGGACGATCGGCAAGTCATCGATGCCATTCGAAAGTCCGACTTACACCATCAAATAACACCGTACACATGACCTGCGTACAATCCTATTGGTCTGTTATCTCCCAACTGTTGAGCCATGGGCATTTTTGCCGAATTCCTATGCCCGCCGAGGAATGAGAGCTGCCTTCTCCGGCTAAATTATATTCCTGGCGCCAACACGTGCAGTTACAAGCGATGAAAGTACACTTGCCACTATCTCCATATACGTATAACATAAGTAAATATAATTTTCGAATTTGATTTGTCAGTGTTTACCATACTTCTCGAGAAGTTGCATCTTCTCAGCAAGCGTTTTCTGAGCGTTAGTCAGCAACCGGTACTCGGGCAGCGTGGTTGGGCGGTGATGGGTGGAAAGGCGGAGAAGGAGTTTTAGGCAAAAACTAGAAACGGCAGCAAAGAGAATGAACACATGACTACAAAAAAGCAAATTAAAGCATACCTGAGCCTATAAATAAAAGCAAAATAAATCAGAAGCAAAAAAATCTGAATTCCCAATGAATAAAAGCAAAAAAAAATAACTAGCCAGTGCCCCGACTGCCGATGCGAACATATGCATTTTATATAGTTTCCCGCAAGTTTCTGTCGCTAATGGCAGTGTTTTTCCCGGCAAATGCTTCTAACTAGCTAGCCTCAGCGACTGTGAAAAAACATCCCTTTAAAATTCCAGGTTTCTAGCTTTTCTGATTCCCGAGTTAGCAACCTATCCGCAAAAAATTTTCACGGGCAGAAACACGCAGAGCTGGTTTTAAAGTCTTGATTGTACGTGGACGAGAAACATCTCAAAATTTCAGCTTTCTGGCTTCTTTGGTTCCCCACCCAGCAACTTACCCGCCAAAAAATTCCACGAGTCCATGCATGGGAATCACGCACATCTGGAAGTTGAAATCACTGGACTATACGGCGTGCATTCCCTTAAGATTTCAGCCTTCTAGCTCTCCCCATTTCTGAGTTGTTTACCTGCCAACCAAAAAATTTCACATGCCCGTACGGGGAAACCACGTGGGCAAGGGTGCCCATTTTGGGGACATAGGCCCGCACATGCGTGCAGATTAAGTTCCCAAAGTTTCAACCTTGTGGCTTTTGTAGGTCTCGAGCTGAAAAATCGATAGGGACACACAGACAACCCCTAGACGATATGCGTTTTTGCACTGTATGAGACGCATAAAAATTGAGCCTAGACGAGTGGAAATTTTTCCATAAGAACTCATCTTCAGTAGAGGATGAGTTTTCTTTCCTATTTTGTGACGCTTACGTTTACGTGAAGCTGAGGACGAATAAGTTGGATTGGTTTTGCGCAAAACTCCTACGCAGTAATTGCAATGTATTGCCCTCAGCACTAAAATGGAGCGCCAAGTTAAGCCAGTGTTTTGAATTTATTCTTAGCATGAAGCAGAGAACACACACTGGCATGCGGATTACACGTTTACTGTACAGTGCACTCATCAGCACTGATCTTTGCTCGGCGTCGCTCTAGCAAAGTAAAGAACATTCTGCGGTAGTTTGTTTATCTGATCCTGTGACCTCTGCTGTCCTCTCTTTCAATTCTGATTGTACGCCTTCGACCGTTTCTCTTCGGCATTGTGTTGTCCTCGCTGCAATTGAATTGCTAATTCAAGTCTATAAAACGTCCATATTTTTCGAAATATGCTGTCTCAAAAAACTTTGAGAAGCAGTTTCAGTTTTGACTTTCTTGCCTTTGCACAAAAATTTTGTCCTGATTTTTCTTTTCCACTTTTGACTTGTCCCCTGAAACGCTGGGACAAAACCAAATGTAGAGATGCTATGCACCAATTAATCTCATGGAACTGAACACGAACTGTTCTCGTTCGGCAGTACGACTTTCAAAGATATGTTGTTCCTTCAGTCACATCACAGGTGGGCAACCGGGGCTCGCGGGCCGGACCCGGCCAGGTCTTTGCACTCTTGTAAAAACCCAGGCTGGAACGCACTGGGCGGGCCCGTGCGGTCATGTGTTTTTGCACCGGATCTAAATTGCTCAGGTCATTAACTGTATGAATGGCTACTGTTTGCGGTCACTAACATAAATTACCATAAATTTTGCAAAGTAGATGTATGATTCCCATCTAACAGTCGTTCTTTAAAAGTAACCTAGTTGTTCAGTGAGAAATTTTTTCCTTAAGACTTTTCAGTGCCCGTATGTAAGAACCACGCATACCTCAGGGCTAAATTTGAAATACTTAAGTTGTACCTGGAAAAGGAACATCCCCTCAAAATTCCAGCTTTCCATATTTTCTGGTTACCGAGTTAGCAATTTTCAAAACCTTCACATACCCGTACTTGGCTGTCAATTCAAATTTGTAAAATATCCCAATTCTGCGAAATATAATGTCTCGAAAAACTTCATGAAGCAGAAGAGGATTTACGCAATTCCAATTTTGATTTTCTTGCTTTTGTACGATAATTTTGTTTTTGCTTTCTTTTTCTCTAATCCTGACTTCTTGTCCCACGCAAAACATATGACGAAAGGAAACGCAGCACACAAGTAATCTCACAGCACTGAACACAAACTAACTTCCAATGAGATATTGCTTTTTCAGTTACATAAAACAACGAACAGTAGGTTACAGCAAGTTACCTGAACAATCCATGCGTGCAAAAAAAATATCGAATATGAGCATGAAAAATTACGACGAACAAATCAGAGATCAGAACTAAAAAAAAAACTCGATTTTACTGTGAACTAAAAAAAAACTTGAATCCAGTCGGAACTGAAAATGGTTCGGTTCCATCACGATCTTAAAACACTCGATTTCATACTGTAAACCAAAAATGACTCAATTTTACTACGAACTGAAAAGGAATCAAATTCAATACGAATTGGACAAGGCGCGATTTCATCAAGAATTGGAAATGACTGAATTTTATTTATTTGCATAATTCACATGCATGGTTTGAGTTGGCGTTATTTTAAAATTGTCTAGAGCAGCGCGGGCAGCTGTGGCATCAGCTTCGGTTTCAAATTCAACAAATGCAATGCTCGGCCTGTTCGGTATACGCCTGATATCCTTTAATCCTCGATAACTGAAAAACCAAAAATGAAGCAGAATACAAGGCAAATCAATGATGCGCCTCATCTCGCGGCACAGATGCGCTATCGAAGATGAAATGAGAACACAAACATAACAGCAGTCCACATCCAGGCAGTGGTAATTACTGACAAGATAACTGAACAGGGCAGCAAAAATTTTCCAAATTTCGTGCCCTTCGGGTCAGACTAGTTCAACGCTGCTGGAAGGCTGCATATCATCATACATGTAACGAAAATGAGAATAAAAGGGAGAGCGGGAGCGAGGAGCGGTCAGAAAATGAGATCAGTGGAGCACTCAAGTGTCCTTGCAGTGCATGTTGAATAATCTGGTACTAAATTTTCCTGCCCCTGTCTACTTCAGAACTGTGCAACTTCATACAAAAGTACTAGTTGGCTCTTTCAGGAATAGCAGCACGACATTGTAACTTCCTCCTCTAGTCACCAATTTCAAGGAAACCGCACTCCAAATAACGTTTATGGCATACGGCATGTACTACGGCTAATCTCGTAACTATGACACATGCGTGCGCCCTTTCCATTATTTAGTAATGGCTTTTCTTCGCTTCTGTGGACCAACTGGCACAGTGGGGGATGAAAAATAAATAGAAGCACGCATCAGGGTAGCCGGTGCGATCATGCCTTCTGCGCAATTCCATCCTACGAACCTTTGCTTGCTTAAAATATAACTGTTTTACACTTTCTTGTGTGGAAAAATAGTCGATATGCTCATTGGCTCTTAAGCTAAGGGAATTTCCACTGAAAATTTCACCTGCCGGTACATGAAAGCTGAATTTGAAACCTTGGAAAGGAAAACATCCTTTCAAATTTTAACATCCTAGTTTTCCGCCTTCCACGTTAGTGATTTTCGCATTCAAACTCTCATGCAGTCGTACGCAGTATCTCGGCATATTTGGGAGCTAAGTTTGGGTTTGTGAGGTATCTGTACAGGCAGAAAACATTCTCCTAAAATATCAGCCTTACAGCTTTTCTGACTCCCAAGATAACAATTTCTCCCACCAAAATTTCGCAGGACTGCACAGGAGACCCAAGAGTACATGAAAATTGAATTTAATTCGCCGAAGCCGCATTCTTCCAAAATTTTAACTTGCTATATTTTATGGCTTCCGAAATAGCAATTTTTCTCGCTGAAATATTCATACAGCTATTTTGAATTTGCAGTGTTGCAAAATGGGAAGGAAAATTCTCGTTAAGTTTCAGCTTTCTAGCTTTCATCGTTCCTCAGATAATAATTTTCCGCCAAAACTTTCATGGAGCCCTACGTAATATCCAAGCGCATGGAAAAGCTGAATTTAAATTTCCAGGGTGGCACGTGGGCGAGGGACATACACATGAAATTTCAGCTTCCCAGCTTCCCGAGACAATAACTTTACAGGGCCGCACGTGTTACTCGCGGTCACGGGAGGGCTGAATTTAAATTTGCGGGGCCACACGTGGGCTGGGGTTTTTTCCAGTTACTGCCCACAGCCAATTCGATGCATGTGTACTGTCTTTCAATGAAGATGCAATTTCCAGTTTACCATCATCCACTTCCCCCTGCGCCTTTTCATAAACTAGGGCTCACTGCTAGCGATGAGTTAGTTTGTACTCCTTCCTTCCCCCTCCCAGCTCGGATTCATTCAGAATTAGTGACAAGAAACTTCTTTTCGCAAAAAGACCCTTTTCTCTTTTCAGTTGCAAAAAGCTGATACACAACCTTATACTCTATTTACATTAATAATGCTACAGTCTAAAACCACTGAAATTCCCCATCCCTAGTGGTCACTTTATTCAGTGAGTGAGCGAAACAGCCCAGAAAATTCCACCACCTTAAGTTGCGTACAAAAATAATATAATGACATTCTTAGAAAGATTTAAAGCAGGTGTCGCAGATAAGCGTTTGATATTGAAAGAGTCAGGGAGGCACGGTGCTCTGATTCCTCACTGCCTATGCAACTCACGGCACACAGTTGGCTGAAATCAAACAATTCAAATATTGTGCACAAAAGGATAAAAACATACGGGTTGAAGAGCAAAGCAAGCATCTGTTCAGTAGTCTCTTCGGGTAGATTTGTGCAGAAGAGAATTTTGTTGGGTGGATTAGCTTTTTCAGGCATATCAATTTTCTCAGCATATGCACTATCCATTCGTGCCTGAAATCACAGTGCAAGTGTGGTCACGTCGAAGAACACAAAAATTTCGACACACAAAACAACAAGAAAGAAGACCATCTGAAAACCCCATGTTACTAAAATTATTTGGATGATCCCACACACCAAGCACAGAAGTGCCAGGCCTTTCAAATCTTTCTGCTCAATCCCTCAATCATATGTAGCTCAGAGTCAGAGGGCTTACTCAATTCCCACAAAAAAAAAAAAAAAAAAAAAAAAAAAAATTTTTTT